AACTCATCTAGGCTGGACAGGTGCTCCTAACCATTTTCTTGCCTATCTTAACTTGTGTTTCTGTTTTGTTTTTTATGGCACTATTTTTGATAGGTTGGTCTGTTTTTTCCCTTTGTGTAAAGACAGATGCAAAAAATGAGTTAAATAGTTCTGCTTTCTCCCTGTTGCTTGTCACCTTCTTGCCACTTCCACCCACTAATGGACCAATCATTTCCTTCACTTTTTTCTTGTTTTTTACATGTTGAAAGAAGCTTTTTTTGTTATTTTTGACTTTGGTCGCAAGCCTTAGTTCATTTTGAGCCTTGGCTTTCTTCACTTCATCTTTGCAGGCTCGGGCTATTTGCTGATATTCTGACTTAGTTATGTTCCCCTCTTTCCACTTTCTGTACTTGTCCTTTTTATCTTTCAATTTGTCAGAGAGTTCTTTATGCAGCCATGCTGGTTTCTTTTGAGAGCTGTTATTTTTCCTCTTTGTTGGTATTGTGCTAGACTGTGCTTTTATTATCTCATTTTTCAAAATTTCCCAAGCTTCTTGAGTTGTTTTCCCCTTGAGGATTCTCATCCATGGAATCCTTCCCAAGCCCTCTCTAAGTTTATTGAAATTAGCTCTCTTGAAGTCCAAGACTCTAGTTTGACTGTGTTCTATTGGTTGTGCTTCTATAATGTTGAATTCTAATATTGCATGATCACTTCCTCCCAGGGTTCCTATGGCTTCAACACCGTCTATCATTTCATCTCTGTTAGTGAGAATTAGATCCAAAATGGCTAATCCCCTAGTTCCCTTCTCTACTTTTTGGGAGACAAAGTTGTCTGCTAGGTTTGCCAGGAACCTGTTTGATCTTCCACTTGGTGCGGAGTTTGTCTCCCAGTTGATGTCAGGGTAGTTAAAGTCCCCCATTACTATTGTGGTGTGCTTCCTACATACCTTAGTTAGCTGACTAGCAAAAAGTTCATCTATTTCCTCTGTTTGGTTGGGTGGTCTGTAGTATACACCTATGGCAATGTCATTTCCCCCCCCCCCTTTTATATTGACCCAAATGCATTCAAGACAGTTTTTATCATTGTTGTACTCTATTTCTGTGGAGATGTAGTTATTTCTTATATAGAGAGCAACTCCACCTCCTCTTTTATTTGGTCTGTTTCTTTTAAATAATTTAAATCCCTCTAGCTGTGTGTTCCATGTGTGAGTTTCATCCCACCATGTTTCCGTAATGGCAACAATATCGTATCTGCCCTCGTTAACCTGAATTTCTAGTTCACCCTGTTTGCTGTTCATACTCTGTGCATTGGTGTATAAACATTTGAGTCCTTTGTGGGTGGCCCTGTGTTTCCTTTCTACATAACCTGTGTGGTGCCTGAGTTCCCCTATTGTCTTACCACCTATTTGGTTAGTGCACTTTATGTGGCACTCGCTATTAGAGGCTTCATTTTGATTGGTAGCAAGGTTGGTATTCTTGTCCACACACACATCTATGCTACATGCACTGATAGCCCTATAGTTTTTAAATTGCCGGGGACAGGGTTGTTCCATATCAATTAACTCCCTGTCCCTGCTGTTTAGTTTAAATTTCCCTCCAGAAAATCTGTGAATTTATAGCCGAGTAACTCAGTCCCTTTTTTTGATGGATGCAAACCATCTCTTTTGTACATCTTTTGATTGGACCAGCTACTGACATCGTGACTAATATATCCGAAGCCTTCCCCTTTACACCACTCCTTTAGCCACATATTGAATTGTGCTATGCGCTGGCCTTTTCCGTTTTGCTCCTTATACACTGGTAAAACCTCTGAGAAAGTAAGCCTACAGCCTATTCTGCTAAGTTCCTTCCCCAAGCTCTGGAAATCATTCTGCACAGAGAGTACATCTTTTTGGGACAGATCATTAGTGCCAAGATGTACAATAGCCTCCACATCACAGTCCTTGCTGCCATTCTTGATTATTTTAGAAATACGCTTCTTGTCCCTACTGGCAGTAGCACCTGGAAGACACCTGACCTCTTTCAAAGCCTCTGTGTCCTTTCCTAAATTTACATCCCTTATAATTGAATCACCTACCAGAAGGTAGCTTCTCTTTTTGGGAGCCTTTCTATTCTTGCATGACTGATGTGCAATACCTGATTCACACTTCTCCCTGTCAAAATCTAGTTGTTCATCTCGGACCACAATCCCCTGCTTATTTGAGTTATCTTCACAAATACCTTTACCAGTCTCCTTAATGTCCCTATTAAGGTCAGCAAGGGCACTGTAGCTGTTGTGCAGGGACACAGCGAAAGCTTTGTGTTTATGGTTCACAGCTCTCACCCTGCCAGATCCCACGGTTGTCCACACTGCCCTTTTCCTGCAGGATCTTTGTGGTAAAGGGGGCTGATAGCAGGGAGGCTTACTAGAGTAGAGGGGCTGAACTGGACACCTAATTTCTGCCCGAAGAGCACGGATTACAGACCCTAGGTAAATGATCTGTCCTTGTAGGCTAGTGATTTGTTTACAGATAGGACAGTTTCCAAGTTTGAAAAGGGTACTGCGAAAAACAGCTGCAAAGCAGGTGTTGCACTGAACTAAGCCGGACATCTTAGATACAGGGGATGTCAGACACACTTGCCCTGAATGTACTGCTACTGTTTGTGATTTTTAGTTATCTAATTATATAATTCGCAGCCCGACCGAAGTTGGAATGGGGTTTAAATAGAGTACAATACACTATAAATATAATGGAGATCCAATCAGGGCCTTGCTACTTTCCTGGTGGATTCTCCCAAAACTTACAGTTTAAGCAGCAGCTGGTGGGATGTAGCACGTTCCAGCAGCCCGACCGAAGTTGGAATGGGGTTTAAATAGAGTACAATACACTATAAATATAATGGAGATCCAATCAGGGCCTTGCTACTTTCCTGGTGGATTCTCCCAAAACTTACAGTTTAAGCACAGCTGGTGGGATGTAGCACGTTCCAGCAGCCCGACCGAAGTTGGAATGGGGTTTAAATAGAGTACAATACACTATAAATATAATGGAGATCCAATCAGGGCCTTGCTTCTTTCCTGGTGGATTCTCCCAAAACTTACAGTTTAAGCAGCAGCTGGTGGGATGTAGCACGTTCCAGCAGCCCGACCGAAGTTGGAATGGGGTTTAAATAGAGTACGATACACTATAAATATAATGGAGATCCAATCAGGGCCTTGCTTCTTTCCTGGTGGATTCTCCCAAAACTTACAGTTTAAGCAGCAGCTGGTGGGATGTAGCATGTTCCAGCAGCCCGACCGAAGTTGGAATGGGGTTTAAATAGAGTACAATACACTATAAATATAATGGAGATCCAATCAGGGCCTTGCTACTTTCCTGGTGGATTCTCCCAAAACTTACAGTTTAAGCAGCAGCTGGTGGGATGTAGCACGTTCCAGCAGCCCGACCGAAGTTGGAATGGGGTTTAAATAGAGTACGATACACTATAAATATAATGGAGATCCAATCAGGGCCTTGCTTCTTTCCTGGTGGATTCTCCCAAAACTTACAGTTTAAGCAGCAGCTGGTGGGATGTAGCACGTTCCAGCAGCCCGACCGAAGTTGGAATGGTTTATCTGCAAACTTTATTGTGTAATGTTTGTTCATCATTTAAATTTTGACGTTTGAAAACTCTAGAGAAAGTGAAATGATTTTCTAATTAATCTCAAAGTGGAATATGGGATGTATATTACATACATAAAGATTTGTCCCCATTCCTGAAGTGAATAGTAAAGCCCAACTAATACAAATAATTTTGCTCTTTTTTATTTCCCCCCAAAGGCTAATAGGAATTATGTAGAGAATAAAATAGAGCAGTCATAAATCAGTCTCCATTAGAATTACAAGGAACTAGACAGTCTCAGAGCCCTAGGTTTCAGCAAGAAGCCCACCCCAAACATTAGGGTTCAAAAAGCTGACTACTGCACACAGGCAAGCATAAGATTCATAGCTTCAAGGCAAATCTGTCACCAGCAAGGAATCTGTTTTCTTAAATGCTCAAGATTTTCATAGTCTTTATGTGGGTATAGCTGAAATTAAGAAGACTTAGGATCCATTCTTGTACCATCAGGAGCCTTTTCCTCTAGGCAGTGACTCATTTTCTAACTTCTGCTTTCCATCAGTTGGCACCTATTTTCTCAGGTTTTGAGGCACCTTTCTTCCAGTTTCAGGTCTGAATTCTCTGTATCAGAATCAGGAGAAATGGGCCCTGTGTCTTATTTTCTCCATGCTGATTCTAGAGATTGCTTCCTCAGCATTTGAAATGCTACATTCATCAGCTTGGTCATTTTCTGAAAAAGATTGTGTGTCTCACTAGACCCTTAGATGTTTATATAATACAAGGGAGAGCTCTTTTTTAGGACCAGTGAGTACAGGTGGAATGTTGAGAACCCCCAAAATCATCTGTCCTGGAATTTACCCAGAAGGCAAAATGTGAGTTTATGCCTTATCATTTTCTAGGTGATGCCTTTCTCAACAAGTTTTCTTGGAGAACCCTTGAAATAATGTTCATGTCTCAGGGAAGACATACATAAAAATAGGAATAAAGAGAGGAAAACTTGATACTCAGTCCACATTTTACAAAAGCAAAGCAGAGGGCTATCTGCTGAGGCACAGCACAAAACATTTCCCACCACATAAATTGCTAGCATAAACTATATTTATATTTTTAATTATGATTTCTCACAGAATGCTAGGTTTCTGTGGAACCCCAGCTGAAAAAGGCTACTCTAGTACCAGCAGTACTTTATCTCAGTTTATCTTTGAGTTGCTTCAAAGTGAGATGGGTGGCAAATAAAGCAAATAAATAAATAATTCTTCATTTTATAAAATCTTTTTGTATCATTGGATATACTTCCAAACAAAGCCATACACACCTGTAACTTATAAAATACTAAAAATGCCTATGAGTGCTGCTTTTGTGTATATAGGTAATGCTAGAGGCAAGCTTTGTTAGCATGTCAGCTTCTACTTAATTTTAAATATTTGTTTTTAAATATAACAGGTGAAGCAGAAGAACTGAACTGCTTCTTCAATGAAGAGCATCTCATCTCTGCATCACAAAGTGCCTTGAGGCAAAGTGCAACCTTACACAGTTCTATTATGAACTATTTATCTACATAATACCATTCATGTTGTGCACTCTATTTCATCATAGAAAGGTAAAGTATATATAATATACTATGCCATATGTTTTGTGGATTGTCTTGGTACTAACAGATTACTGCCCTTCCACCCCAATGAAAGCAGATCAAGGAAGTTTCATTTGGAGACATAGATAACACATTTTTATTTTATGTATAAAAGCAATATGTAACAAATTTAAGCTTGTCCACAGCTGTAGATCAGAGACATCAGCAAGTTGCTGAGGCTTTGAATATAGAAATCTGAACATTCTCAGCTTCCTTTTAAAACTAAGTTTTACTAAGAGTGTACCTTTTAAAATAGGAGATCAGAAAAATATACTGTATGCATTATCTGGAATTTCTAATCTCCTTAAAGCAACATAGGTAATGTGATTTGGAAATGTTGTTGTCATGGTTCCGACAGACAGAGATGAATAAAGCAGAACTCAAGGCTTGCAAATTCCTCAAAGAACATGTTTATTAGTTACAAAGTATTGGCATGATCAAGAGTGAAACCAAGTCTGGATACAAAAGTAACAATTTTACAATACAAAGTTAAATATCCCACCCATAAAAACTATACAAGCAACTACATTCTCCAATATGATTATTTAATGGATTTTTTATGCAACGGCCAGTCTCAGGAGTAGCCAATGACCTTGGTTCCCACAGGACAAAAGATTATTTTGACTAGCGAAGTACATGGGCAACCCCCTCCCCCATTCTATGTGGCAACCTAGAATGAGAAGGAAAATGGCTGCAGCCATGCTCATTTGTAGAGTTAACAGTTGTCTTAGTCACTGACAATCAGAATCAAAACTGGCAGCTCAGCATGTTGTCTTTACATAAACAAATAGGTGTCAGTCATATTGAAACAATTGGTTTAAGTATAGGAAATTTTTTCAGAAGGGCACTAGTGATTCACCTATATTAAAACAATTGACTTATGTTCAGGGAGCTATCTCAGGAAGGTACCAGTGCCTCAGCTACCCAGAATTATAGTCATCATACTTTAAAAACAAATAACTCCTGAAAACCCATACTTTTCCTACTAGCAAACACCATAATTTGTCAAATCAGAGAGAATCTACTGTGCAATATGGATAATAAGGATAAAAGAAGAATTTGTACTTGTTTTGTGTAAGTTAGTGCACCTGCTAAATGTGGGCTATTACTGCAAAAATGTTAATTTGCTCAAACATAATAATTTATATTGATTGTTATGAGTAATTTTGGTACTCAACATCATTGAAACTGCAGTTTGGCACAGCTATGTTAGTGAAGAGTGAAAACATGGTGCTTTGCACCTGTGCTCCTGATTAATGCAAATTTTAATAGGTTGTTAAAATTAGACATCTCCAGGCTATCTGGTTATTGACCCCTGCTGCTATGTGTTTATGTGTGCAAAAGTTCCTAGTATTGTTTTTATCTTTTTATCTGTTTACTAATAGAAAAGTATATTTATTATAGAAAGTATTCATGTTATATACATTATTGATTGGAAAGATTGGTATGCAGCTGCTTTGTGTTTTACGCATCATTTCAAGGGATGATTTGATCATTCTCAATTTGTTTGAAACTTAACCTTTCAATTTTTTTTAAAAAATGTTTTATTTGCACAAGGATAAAAAAGGAAAAGAAAACCACGGACATTTGCAACTCTCTCAGACTAATCAAAATTATTTTTAAGAATATCATCATATACATTTATATCAGTGGTGGGATTCAGCCAGTTCGCATCACTTCGGCAGAACTGGTAGCTAATTTTTTGTTGCCCAGGCCCAGAATGGACTTCTGGAAGTGGCATCCACACAGAGAACTGGTTGTTCACATATTTGAATCCCACCACTGATTTAATATCCTTAATTCTTAATATAATACATTTAACAAAACATTACATAGATAAACTATTTTATGGAATTTTAACAAATACATAGACAACCCAAGCAATAGAACACTTCTTCACCTAGAAAGAGAAGTCAGTTCCACCTTATATAACTGACAGAGAATGGTATCCTTCCAATCTTGTAGAATTATTATTTTGCAACCATGAAAGCACACAATATACAATTTTGTTATTCCTTATAATTTCCAAAATAAAAAATAAGTATTTATAAATCAGTCTTCTAGAACAAAGCTAATATATAAAATATCATACCACTTTAGTCCTAGGTAAGGAGCTTGGTTACAATAATAAGCGAATGGAGTTGGATGGGCAACAAATTTAATAAATATATTTTTTTAAAAAATAATCTCATTTTTTTCTAAATCAAATTAACTTCTTGGCATAGAAAATGCAATCTCTATTTGTAATGTAATGCATATCTTGCATCACACACACACATATACACAAACACACATACACACGGAGAGAGAGAGAGAGAGAGAGAGAGAGAGAGAGAGAGAGAGAGACAGAGAGAGAGAATTTAAAAGAACATTTTGTGTAGCATATTAACAATGGGATAGATGTAAGAACGAACATAACAAAAGTTCCAGAATCCTGAAATAGATTCTTTTTTTTTTTTTTTTACAATCCTAATGTCTTTCCTAGTGTAGAAACCCTCAGTATCATGATGTTAATTATTTATTTCTTACAACAGTGTTAAAATATATGTTTGGGCTCCAGAGAAACAAAGCAATATATTTCCTGTAATCTTAAAACAGTGTAGTCATATATCATAGCATACCAATTCTCCATGAGGCAGTCTCCTTAAAGTTGTGTTTCTCCACCTCAGTAATTTTGAAGGGTGTAGACTTCAACTCCCAGAATTCTGAGAGTGAAATTCTACACCTCTTTAAAGTTACTGAGATTGAAAAACATTGCTTTAGAGCATCCATCTTCAATCTTTTCTTTCAAATAGTATTGCACTTCTGATTTTATAATAATCCTAAACAATATAGTCCAAAGGCTGCTACACACTCTGAAACCTTTGCCAGTAAGGGCATCAGTAATCCTGACCACTGATTTTCTGGCCATCTATGAACTTGGCTAGTTCTTTCAATGGTTCCATGTTCCTGTAATTCTTTAAAGGATAGATTTTAATCTGATTTATACTGTTACTCCTATCTACATTTAAGGAAAAGGCTTGCAGAACTTACCATTTTTATCTGTCTTTAATTCATCTGGTGATCCTCTAATAGATAAACCATTGATTTCAGCTGTAATGGAGGGGAGAAATAGGGTATCATTCATGTATTACTAACACCCTGATACTGAAAACTGCTGATAAGTTCAGCACAATCACTATGGATACAAAGGGAAGCAATCTGAGAGATCATTTATAACAGGGGTGTCAAACTGCCGGCCTCAGGGCCGGATGCGTCATACGGAAGCCGCGCCCACCCCATTGCCCACCCCGGATGCTTATAAATCAGACATGTCAAACTCACGACATCACGTGACATCACGCAACATAAAACTCTCCTGATATGTTGCGTGATGTCACGTGATGGTGTGAGTTTGACATGTCTGATTTATAAGCATCCTTGCAATGTTTCCTGCATTTCAAAGCTTCTGAAGGTGATATGGCAGCATATGAGTAGAAGACGAGAGATTCTAGAAGTTGGTATGGGAATGAGTCAAGAGTTCTCCCAATAGGAAAATGTATTACACAGAAGCTCGACACTGTTCTCAAATAAACTGCTGGGCAACCAGAAAAAAACCTGACCTTGTTCTAATAAGCTAGTTGCAAACTTATATTACCACATGGGTCTGGAATCAATTCTGAATTGATATAATGCCTTCTTGTGAAGTCTTTCAATTATCCTGTTCAGTGCATCATCTCTTTATCTCCGTGTAGCTTCCTTGATGTCCCACAATTAATAAAATCCCAGAAGAAGACATAATGAAGGACCATTGTCCTACTTGACTGGGAAGAGTAGGTATGACTGGTAGGTTCTTAGAGTGGAAAGATATTATGTAATGGGGGGGGGGAAGAACCCCACAAGCAGTTAAAAACGATCTATCCTTCCCACAATAAAATAGAATCAAAGAGTTGGAAGGGGCTATTTAGGACAAGTATAATTTCAAAATGTGTTTTCTTGCCTTTGAGAAATGTTATATAACATAAAAGCACACATTAATGCCAGAGCAGAAGCCAGTAAAAGAAACCTTTTAAAGAAGGCTTGAACAAATGGCCTTTATATATGTTATAACCTTTGTGTTTTCACTCAATGTACAGCCATTAGTTTATACTAGGCAGCAAATAGAAATTTTGAGGGCTACTGAACACTTTGTGCTTTTCCTGTAACCTTTCTGCAAAGTTATTTAGTACTTGTGTTTCTATAATTGAGATGCATTGGGAAAAATCCTTTGCTCAATGGGTCCTAAAACTCAAGCTTTTGCTATGTCATTCTCACACTGGGAGGAAATATAATACATGCAGGGAGGGTGACTAGCTTGCAAAGGTTTATCCTACTTTTTGGGGGATTTTTTATAAAGAAATTGTAGCCAGGTTATGCACTTTTGCCCTATCTCAAGGAAGAATCAGATCACAGTTCTTGAAGGAACAAAAAGAATAATTATTGTAGCCTTTCTATCATTCTTTGAACACTGAGAAATTCCAGATGATTAAGAAAAGAGAAAATACGTTTTGTTCTATTCTCTAGACTATACATTCTGACTTTTACAGTGTACAAAGGAAACAATTTTAGTTCTTCCCACTTTATTTCAGATTTCATCAAAGGGAATGGAAATTGTTGGTGAATGATCGTTACTTTGGTAGGGAAAGTGGACAGTTTTGGTTTTTTTAAAAAAAATGATAGGAAAGACAGAAGAACAGCTCCTTTTCTGTACTTGACTAGAAGGTCTCAACTAATTTCATCCTTATTGTGAAGAAAGAGATCATTTTCTCCTCTCATTCTAGACATAGACATTAAGCAGGCTGTCAGCTGAATCTTGAACACTTGATAAAGCAATATAGTCTCTGTATTTGAAGGTAGAGGTTGGCCTAGAAGATGGATCTCAGGCCAAATGGCACTTGTGTAATCTCCAGCAACTACTTGAGATAGCTACCTCACTCTCTTCAATGGTAGGA